TATTGATGGAATTTTTTTAATGCGAAAACAATCGCCAAAGCCTCTTTTTCTATTTGGCTGTAATTTATTTCTGCGGGCGTGAGAGCTCGCGAAGCGTACGCGACTGGGCGCTCGCGGCCGGCCCGCTGCTGCGCCAGCACCGCTCCCACCCCGCGCGAGCTGGCGTCGCACGTCACCACCACTGGCAGCCGCGTGTCATAATGATCTAACACCTCAGCTTTACTTAATAATAATTTCACATTCTGAAACGCTTGCTTTTGCTCTTTCCCCCAAAACCAATGCCTACCTTTTTTAAAAGTGTGTAAAATGGATTCAGGTAAATCTACAATAAAAATTAACCATTCCTAAAAATTACCGCAATTCGGATGCGTAATTAGGTTCACGTAAATTTAAAATGGCTTTTATCTTTTCGTTATCAACTTTTATACCGTCTTTGTTTACAATGTAACCGAGATATTTTACTTCGTCCGCAAAAAATACGCATTTTTGTTTCTTAATTATAAACCCGTTTTGGCTTAACCTTAACATTACCTTACGCAATGTATCTAGGTGAAAAGGAACCAACGGCTGTGTAAACGTTCAACTAAGAAACAGAAGGGAGGAATCGAGGCTACTCTCGATCCGGCCTCCTATAACGCCTACGTTGGGCTCGGGAACAACGTATGTGATCTCCGCAACGGAGTAACACACAAGGGCGATAACCTCTTCCTTTTCAGCAAATAGGTTCAGACGGGGATTACGGGTCTTCCGAAGTCGTCCCGGTCCCAACGCCTTAATTCTTCGATGTGGACTGTATAATTTTGAGGGATGAATTTCTTGGGAATAAAACAGCAATTATCTTCAAACTGTTCCGTGAGAGAGTCATAATCATAATCATAATCATTATTTGCAAGAAATATGGTACATTACAGGTTGGTAAATTATTTAAGTCCAGCATGTTTTGTCATAATATTGACATACAAATATTTATCTAAAACATTAATTACATTTTCACAACTAATAAATTAATAACATGTTTTCAAAATCATAATAATTTTATTACATTTAATTTAATTAAAATAATATGATAGTAGTTACATAATTCATTTCAATGTCGATCCCTAATCCTAATCAAAAAATTTAAATATTCTTCAACAGAGTAGAAGCATTGCTCCTCAAGCCATTGTTTGACTACCCTGCGAAAACGTACCTTTGGGAGTGATTGAAACTCTATAGGCAGTGCATTGAAAATTTTTATACACATAGCTGAACAATTTTTCCTATAGAGGCTAGTGCTTGGCATTACACTATGTGTCAATCTTTCAGTATGCCTCAAGTTTCTCCGTGCAGTATTTCTTAGCTTTGTGAATAAAAGTATATTATTTTTAACAAAACATACCAAATTTAGTATGTACATACATGGCAGCGTCAAAATGTGTAATTTTTTGAAATACGGTTTACACGATGAATCTGGTGCCAAACCATTCATAGCTCGAATACATTTCTTTTGTGCTGTAAAGGCTTTAATAGCATCTGTACTGTTACCCCAAAGCAAAAGACCATAATCGAGTGCAGAATAAATGTATGCATAGTACGCCGTTAGTAATGTTTCATGAGATGTAATTCTTCTCAGTCTGCTAAGAAGAAAAATGTAGCTATTTATTTTAGAACAAACTTTTTCAACTTGGGCTTTCCAGTTCACATGTTTGTCCAATAATATTCCCAGAAACTTTGTTTCAGTCATTTCATTAACAGATTGTCCATTGCAATATATGTTTAGATTATTATTCAATGTTCCATAATTACTAAATTGAATATAACATGTCTTTTCTACGTTAATGCATAAATTATTATATGTCGCCCACTTTGAAATATTGTCAATAGTATTATTAATATTAGATTCATAGATGTCAATGTCAATGTCTTTTTTAGATGTCACAATAACTGAAATATCATCAGCAAATAAAATACATTTGTATGAAGTTGAGCCAGGTAAGTCATTTATATATAAAAGGAAAAGAATTGGCCCTAATACGGAACCTTGTGGAACTCCAAATGAATTTAATCTATCACTGGATTTATGTGTTAATGTCTGTGAATTATCAATATTTGTTAATTCTACAAATTGTATCCTATTTCTTAGATAGCTAGCAATCCAATCTAGGACAGAGCCTCGAAACCCCAAATTATCAAGTTTTTGTAAGAGTATTTTGTGGGATACAAAGTCAAAAGCCTTCGACATATCAAAAAAGATTGCTGTAACTCTTAGCTTATTATTTATAGCCTTAACAATTGCATCAACAAGATCAAATCCAGCAAGGCTTGTAGATTTATTATTTTGAAAGCCATATTGCTCACTTTTAATTAAATTATATTTCATCGTAAAGTCTATAATACGTTTAGCCATTGCCTTTTCAAATATTTTAGATAAAACTGAGACTATACTAATCGGTCTATAATTGTTTAAATTTTTAGAGTCACCCTTTTTATGTATCGGCTTAACAACTGACTTTTTTAAGATACTAGGAAAAGTAGTTTTTTTAAATGACAGGTTTATTAGGTAAGTTAATACTCTACCTAAAACCGTACAACAACTTTTAATAACATCCGTTGAAATACCATCAAAACCTTCCGACTTCGTATTATTTAATGTTTGTATTAATTTCAATACTTCATCAACAGTATACATTTCTAAATACATGCTATTACATACTCTTAGACTATTAGTGTTTTGGCACTGATTACTGATATTATTGATATTTGTTGATTCAATAAAGTGGTTGTTGAAGGCTTCAGCAATTTGTTGAGGATCTGTCAAATAATTGTTATTTATACAAACTTTTTGAATTAAATTATTATTTATGCAACAAGTCTGATTTTTTATTATATTCCAGGAAGCACGACATTTATTTTTTGATTGCTCAATATATTTATCATTGTTAAGTCATTGCGCTTGATTTATACAACGTCTTAGTACAGCGGAATAGATCATATACTATATTTTATTCTGGTCCGATTTTATTTTATAGTAGTTAAACCTAAGCTTCCTCTTCATTGTACAGCTTTTCCTCAGTCCTTTTGATATCCACTTAGGTCGACGAACTCTATTATTAATACATATCCTAATTTTAGGAAACAAAACACTAATTAGTCTCACCCTCTTATTTTTAAATGCATAGCTCATAAAATAACATAAAAGTATCAAAGAAGTTTTGGAAAGCTACATTCAAATTCGATTCATTAAAGACATCAGAAAACGTTAATCTCGATATACAGTATTTAAATTTATTAACATTTTCTTTACAATAGTTTCGTTTTATAATATAGTACTTTAGGAGAGGTATTTCTTTGTTTGATACAGGAACGTGTAGCATTTGAGCCATGTCATGATCCGATAGAGCAAGTGGTAATAACTCTGCAGTAGCATTATTCACATTACTAAGGATAAGGTCAAGACAGGAGTTCAACCTAGTAGGTTGATTGATATGTGACGTTAGATTAAAATTTTTTAAGAGATTATGCAACTTTTCGGTGATTTTATTATTTTCCATTATATTAATATTAAAATCACCAACAAATACGAATTTAGTCTTAGTACTTTTATTTATGGTTTTGAAAAAGAGGTATTCTAGATTTTCAAAGAACAAGTCTAGATCATGTATGTTACTTCTTGGAACTCTATATATACAAATAACTTTAATATTGTATTTAACAATCTGAATACCACAACATTCGAGGTAATGGTCCTGACCTATACTATTAACTTCCTCAAGTACCTTAACGCATAAACCCTTTTTGGCCAATATGCACACACCACCCCTTTTTGTTTTGTTTTTTCTACAATAAGAGGCAGCAAGATCAAAACCATGTAATCGAAGATTTTTTTCGCTACCTGCTTCTATAAAAGTTTCACTAAGGCATAATATATCAGGAACCCTATTTTTGCTATGCAGCTCAGACAATGCAATTTCAAGAATCTCCTTTTTTCTCAAAAAACTCTGAATGTTTTGGTGGAATATTCTAAGATTAGAATCATTATTTTTTGTCACGAAATAACTTATCAGTGGAATTTTTAATTATTGCACTATCATTCAAAGTTTGTTCAATTTGATTTTCAAAGTTGTTAATTTTTTTCTCTATTTTTTGAAAATAAAATGGTATAGTGCCTTTTTTTGGGAGCTGTTGAACCTTTTTGTTAGATACTAGAACAGAACTTTTTATATACAATCTAATGTTTTTATAACATAAAAATTGCTTTTTATAGTCATTATAATCAATTAATAAATTAATTTTGTCGCATACATTTGTCAAATAGCTATTTTTGTAATAATTAAAATAATTAAAATTCTTAAAAATGTCAATATATCTAACATTTTCAAAATGCTTTGTCCATAATTGTAAATTGTAGTTTAATGTTTTTTCATTCATATACGGATTATACAAAATAGGTAATAAAAGTACAGTCGCCTTAGATAATTTGTTGATTAAAATACATATGTCAGAATGGAGCCTATGTAAATCTTTATCATTACTACCGATACCAACTATTACAAAGTCATTTTCCGTTAGTTCATTTAACAAAGAATGATCACAGTTTCGTAATATTTCTTCACTAGTAGCTCCAGGCATAATATGGCCATAGATTTTATAGGTGTTATTCCATTTTCCACATCTTGACATTGTTAGAGCTGAAGACAATCCACGTAGTTGGTCATCACCAAGAATGAAAATGCGATTCTTTTTGCGATTTAAGTTGTCGACTTCTTGTTTTTTTGGTGTTGCACCTTCTTGTGAGGTCCCAACAGTGACGCAGGTGTTAAAGTTCTCTGTTGACGTGCTGCCATCTAGTTGCGTCAAGGGGCAACTACTCAGTGCAAGACGTATGTGAGGAGGATTTTGGTTTTCTGATTCCTTTAGGGATATATTAAAGTCTATTTTCTCTACATTTTTCTTTTTCTTTTTCGTGGACTTACTTGAACTTGATGGGGTAGATTTACATATGTGTTTCAACTGATTGATCTTTAGCTCATATTCCGCAACTTTTTTTTTAAGTTATGGTTTTCTGAAGATAAATTCGTTATTTCATTTTCTGCTATCTCAAGATTTTCCTCCAGCTTCAGTATTTTTTGTTTCAGTTCACTAATTTCATCATAACATTGCATATGCAGAGATAGTCTTCGGTTTAATTCATGATTTGGTGTAGAATTGATAGAGAAATAATCAGTTTCTTCTCCATCAGAGAGATGGTCAGATAAGCTTTGTAAGGAAATATTTTTGTTAATTTTCTTTCGTTTTGTTATATTTACATTTTCAATCGTGACTTTATCATGTATTTGCTGTAATTTACTGGTAGATGCTCTGAGACATGTATCGCATTTGAATGCTTTTTTGGAAGATGTTGACATTATTCTAAATCTTTGAAATGATATGCTTGTACAATCTAAGTGAAATGATTTCTCACATGAGATGCACACCAGAATTTGCTTGTTAATAATTTCTTTAGTGCATTTTATACAGGTCAGAGACATCTTGTATAATAGGCAAGTATTATTAGCCAAACATCAACTTATGTTCTTGTTACCTCTAAGCAAAAGTCGTTGCGTGGTTCTAATCGTTTTACTAGATGTCACTTTCACCGTAGATTTTTTCAATATAAAGTTATGACATCTAGTGACTATAATTTATAGTTACGGAATTTATCATCAGCTGATTGGTGTTTATATTATGAATGTCAAATTTGAAATGATAAACGTTCACTTTAGATTAATTACACAATATTTTAGTTCTTTTCCGCTAACTAGAACCAGTAAGGTGTTTGTAAAACATTCTTTTAACGAGAACGGTATGTTATAGAGTAACAGTTGAGAAAAACAATTATTAGCATTTATTGTTTTATACACTATTCACTCGAATCACCTTAGTATTGATAGCACAAGAAATGTTCAATATTTCCTTTAGATAACACTTTTATCCATTTATTATAAACAGTTAGTCACATAACACAACACACTACCGAATTTCAACAAGTTGGACTAATTTTAAATTTAATAAATAACAGAGATCGATTTTGCATGACAGTAGCTGTCACACTTCCTCATTTTACAGATTCAATTGTAATTACTTTTCCCTATCACTTCCCTACACTTTTTTTTTCTTCTCCTTATTGACTGCTGGTCTTGCACTTTTCCCGAACTTTCCCGAAGGATTCTCGAACGATTCCCGAACGAATTGCAAGAAAACCCGTTTACTGAGCTACCCCAGAGCTATACGCGAAAGTGAGCCGCGCCATTCGCGCGCTTGCGCAACTCAATTACATGAATTTGTTCTATCACTCTCTCACGGTTTACTTAATAACTTTATTTGCATAAGTCATACATTATCACAATTTACTTGTATAGATAGCGCAAAAAATATCTATACTACGATATACATTACATTTTCATATCACAAAAAACCTTTTATTTATTTAACAAAATATGTCTATTTTACTCACACGTTCGAAGTTGAAATTTCTTAAATATTTAACATAGAAAGTTAAAACAATGTTTTCCACTTGAAATTATACATATCTTAACTAATACAATAGTTTAATTTACATTTTCTCTATACATTTCACTATTAAAACACTTTTAAATTTCTTATACAAAACTATCATTATTTCACTTATTCACAGGAATTTTCACATAAAAATAACACAGAATTCACTTTTTTTACACGTACAATCAATCTGAAATGTCTTACAAGTCATTTTTACATAAATTGTTGAAATTGCAAATATTTAAATTTCTACATATTTGGCCTCCTAAGTACGTGGCTAGCGTGCGTCTATGAACTCACACTATTTGAACAACTAACTTTTGCCCGGCTATCGACTATCAGTAAAAATGGAAAGTCTAATATCAACAATACTAGGTGAATAAATGATTCTACTCAATTCTCAAACGTTGAAAATTACCTCTAATCAGATTCTTATCAGTTATCATGTTTCTTATCAAACAATACAAGTGAATGTTTTCATAAATCAATCGTAGCAAATAGGCATTTGTTTTCATACAAAACATATCAAACCCATAGACAATACTTATGCTATTAATTTCCTTTAATTCTATTTATGCACAGCAATCATCTCGACCGGGGAATAAATCCGATCTCTAACTTTATTTTAATATTTACATCATTGGAAAGATGATTTCAACCGGGGAACAAATCCGGTAACATAATTTATATCTTAAAAATTCCCTATATGAACTTATTAAGAGATATTACTAAGAAAACGATAAACCATTCCGGCCTGGGAGTCGAACCCAAGACCTTCATATCATTAATTCGATATTTCTTTAAGATTCAACTAAGCATTTTCTTATCGGAATATTGTTACTTGATAATTTGCTTTTTAGAAGCTATTCGTAATCGGTTAACTTAATAAATTGAAATATTCTTATAGGCGCGTCGCCAACAATCTCCCCCCCGTGCGTCAACACCATCATTTGGGAGGCGTCGCGGGTACCAGGACTATTATTCTGGATGTAGGTCTCCTCAAGATACCTGTGCTAGTAATGACGTCAACCACTCTGGTGTGACCGTCTGGTCCCGGTAGCGTCCTACTCATTTTGCCTTTCGGCCACGTATTTCGTGGCAACGAATGATCTATTATCAAGACAATATCACCTTCTTTAGATTCCATGAACCTTCCGTTATTACCTGTTCGAGGTATTAAAGTAGGCATGTATTCTTTTAGCCATCTTGTCCAAAAATGGTCGGCTAACCTCTGTGCAGATTTCCAATTGAGTTGACCCGTCAGATGTTGCTCTAAAAATAATCCAGGTGGTCGATCACCACATGAGCGTCCCAGAAGAAAATGATTGGGTGTCAAACCCTCTTCAGGACTATCCATACTGAATGTTACCAGAGGTCTGGAATTTACAGTATGCTCTGCTTCCAAAAGCAACGTATGCAGAACCTCCTCTCGCGGGCTCCTTTCTTTGAGCGTAGCGGTCAACGCAATTTTAATTGATCTTACTAACCTTTCCCAGGCGCCACCCATGTGCGGTGCTCCCGGAGGTATGAATTTCCATTTAATATATTTTTTAAATGAGTCATTTTTCATGCCCTCATAGCATTCTTCGCATGCTTTCAATAATTCTTTATTCGCAGCTTTGAAATTTGTCCCGTTATCGCTGTATATAACGGCTGGTTTTCCTCTTCTGGCGATAAATCGCCTCAATGCCATTATCATTGACGCTGGTGTCAATGAGGCTGCTAATTCCTGATGTACTGCTCTGGTGGTCAGACACGTAAATAAAACACCTCAACGTTTTTCGTGTCGCCTTCCTATAGTCACACTCATAGGTCCGAAATAATCCACGGCTGAGCGTGTAAAAGGTGGTTCATGATGAGCTATTCTCTCCAGAGGAATATTTCCTTGTGGCACGTTCTGCGGCTTTGACCTGTATGTCCTGCACCACTGACAATGATGTGACACACTTCGTACTACATTACGCAAGTTCAAGACATAAAATTTCTGGTTCACCTCATTCATCACCGTCTGGTGATTGGAATGTCCAAAATGATGATGAACTTCTCTAATCATCATTTTAACGATTTCGTGTTTACCGTCTAATACGACAGGTTTTCTACTTTCCTCGGTCAAATTAGACTTAAAAGGTAAACGCCCATTTAAACGGAGTAAGTTATCTTCTCCTATTTCCATAGATAATTTACTTAAGCGTGAACTTCTTTCAACGCTTTTGCCTGCTTTCAAGCATTTTATTTCCAAATGAAAACACTCGTCTTGAACGAACTTCCAAATTAACAATTCAGCCTTTTTCAAGAGCGCTATGTCCAACGCGCCATCGGGTCCTTTAACCGACTTTGCTAAAACTTTGTTGGAACACATAACCGACTTTTTCGGCTGCGTCGTCGGGTCCTTTAACCGACTTTCTTAAACTCTTGAATTTTTCTACCGCTTGTAAGGTGCGTGTAGTTGCCCCAAGGAATTTCTTAAAGCTGCTAAATCGTCCGTAGTCGGGTAGACTTAACGGTTCTTGCTTTCTCAGCGCATTTACGCCTTTTGGCGATTTTTCTTCACCTGTTTCTAAGCTATTTATGGTGTCCACTTGTTTGTGCCATAAATAAGGACTTTTCCTGAGGAATTCAGGTCCTTGAAACCAGCGATGACTTACATCGAAGGTGGAAGGAAAATTTCTAGTGGCGTTGTCTGCCACGTTTTGTGACGTTGGAACCCATCGCCATTCACATGGCTTACTGTGATCTTCGATCTCAGCTAATCGATGGGTAACGAATGGTTTAAAAGCGCGAGGATCTGACTTAATCCACGCTAACACTGTACGTGAGTCTGTCCAAAATACTCTCGTACTTGCTCTCTTCACTAACTGATGCAGCCAGTCTGCTGCCCATAAGAGCTGCTTGCAATTCAAGCCTTGGAATCGAAATTGGTTTCAGCGGCGCTACTCTTGCCTTTGCGGCGATCAGCGTAATCCGCCTTTCTCCTAGCTCGTCCGTGGTGACGTAATACACCGCGGCAGCGTATGCTTTTTCACTAGCATCCGTGAAGGTGTGTAATTCTCCCTTGCTGACGCCTTCAGCAACGGGTCTAGGTACTTCTAAATGACCTAATTTCTTCACTTCCGATATCCATTTACAAAATAACACGTGTAATTCGTGTGAAACTTCTTCATCCCAAGAGATGCCTGTCCTCCATACTTGCTGGATCAGCGACTTCCCTTGAATCGTTATGGGTGATGCGAGTCCCAAAGGATCGAAGACTGACATCACAGCGCTAGTTATCTCTCTCTTCGTAGGTGGTCGTAAACCTTCCATCACCTCTTCCGGTGTGTTACGAAGACTTATGGAGAAACTTATTATATCCCGTTTGATATTCCAAATCAAACCTAAAGTGCGCTCTGTGTGCTCTTTATCTCCCAGCCAAGCACTGTCGCTCTTATATTTATTTTCCATTTTACATAAAACCTCGGGTCGGTTGCTAGCCCATCCCCTCAGTTGGAAAGAAGCACGTTTATGTAATTCATACATATCGTTTACTATCCTTTCGGCCGTCGTCACGTTGGGAAACGCCTGTAGATAGTCATCCATATAAAAATTGCTTTCCGTAGTGGAAGCTGCTTCTGGATAGATATGCGCGTTATCCTGCGCATTCCTATTCTTCACATACATAGCGATGCATGGTGATGATGCCGCTTCAAATATGAGTGACGTCATTCTATACTCTTCCGGTGGCGCGTCACGATTGTGCCGCCATAAGAATCGAAGGCTATCCCTGTCTTCTTCCCGGATTTTCACTTGCAGGAACATTTCTTTAATGTCTGCCATCACTGCCACGCTTCCTTCCCTGAATCGTAGCAGAACTCCAAACAACGACTTCAAT